CCTAGTTCTGATATGTAATATGTATGTATTTATGGCACCATCATATGTCAATTTACTTAAGTATTAATAAAAGTCTGAGGCAAAAGCTACACCCCAAATATAAAAAAAAAAAAAAAAAAAAAAAAAAAAAACAAAAAAATCTTAAAAGGAGTGACAAAAATCAGGTGATTTTTTAGAACGGAAGGGGGTAAAAAAAGTTGAAATTATATATAAAGAACCTGACTATTTTTATATTAAGGAAGGGGAGTAAACCTCTAATAAAAAATAATCAGGTGATTAATGACATAGCCCTAAACTCTGAAATAATTAAAATTTTAAAATGTTAAAGCTACTACTTGAATATATTATCAAAATAATAAACAATCTTAAGAATGATTATAGAAGATTAGTAAAAAATTTTTTTCATTACTTTTGAGTTGGTTAAATAGAGCATCACTAACTGTAAAAACTTACAAAAGTGCTTATATAGTTTTGTTACTAGAATCTTTACATTTTCAAAACTATAACTTGCCTAATTTCAAATAAAGTAGTATTTGATTTACTGGTAGTGACCATAACCATAATTATTATAGTATCTATTAGCTTTGTATAAAAAACTTAAGATAGGTATTTGGGAGTTTTTTGAGTACATCATGCTATAAAGATACTAACTTATTTTATAATATCATAGTTAAATCGGTTTTCAACAACTCTAGACAAAGCTTGACCAGTATGGTGAAGCCTTTCTAAGTGTATACTTTTGAAACCAATATATAATAACATATATATTTAAAGAAGATGTGTGCTTAAATAGTTTTTACTATATATAATTTATTAGCAATTATAATTGTTTATAGATTAGTTGAACAAAGCAATTATTAAAAGAATATAATACTTGATAAGTAACAACTATATGACTATAAAAAGATAATTGTTCTATTTAATCTATTATTTTTTCAATATTTTCTGGCAAGTGATAATGTAATTTATATTTACTAATAGCCCATTTTGCAACTCTACTCTCTAAACCCTTATTATAGGCATTTATATACCTCCAAGACTTTCATTTAAACTTGCGAATAGTTGATATTAGTACATTATTGAGGGCTTCTGGGAGTTGTCTTAATAAGTCATTATAATTATAAGTACATAATATCTTAAGTTTCCATTTTACGAAGCCCCAATACCATTCAATAAAGTTATATTCACAATAGAACTTCAGATATCATTTAAAAATATAACCTTTACCAACAATTAGATCTTCTAATACTGATCGTTGTTCACAGAAATCTGGCTATAATAATATGATTTTCTGTATACAGCAGTTCAAATCTTCTGAATCCTCTATATTTTTATTAGAACAGAGTTTACACACCAAATTTACTCCATTAGCCAGCCAGAGGTTGTGTTTTTTAAGTACTTTTTAAATGCTTTTTGGTTGTTCTCTCAACTCTACTACTGAAAATCTTCTAAAAATATTATACTTTTTACTGTTTTCATCAATATACCAACCATCACGCATTATAGGTTGTTTTCTTTTAAAGCCTTTGTTTATTCTTAATATAACTAATATATTCTTTGCCATTGCATTATGGTTAGTTGATTGGTTGAAACAAAAAACTTCTACACATCCAGGATACAATATTCCAAATATTGGTATTGCTCTCTCTACAAGCTTTATTTGCAAATAATGAATTAACAAAAAAAAAAAAAGCACTGACAAATATTAAGTAATTATAGCCTTCTAAGAACTACTTATTTAATAATACAATTTAGTATGATAATTTTTTTTATTGAATTGTATTGTCAAATAAGTATTCTATAGAGCTATAATTATCTAATATTTGTTATTAAACAAAAAAAAATCAAAAAACCTATTCTAACATATGCTCTAACCTCCAATATTCATTTTCTTGTACAGAGTGAATAACAAAAACATCCTTATACTTAATATACGAATTGGCCTAGAATTGCTCTTCAGATAATTATAATAATTTATAGTATGGATATACAAAAGCTAAAACTATAACAGAACGCCCATATGTTTTGAACGCAAAATATCTTTATCCTTTTCAATCCAAATTTTATGTTGTCTGTCATTTGCATAGAAGTAACATTCATTATATATTATTTGTATCAACTCTTTTTCATCATACTCAAGTTTAGACTCTACTATTATCTCCATCATATCATCAACAAATTCTTTCATATACTTCTTATATATAAACATCCTCTCTAACTACCCTTTTCTATATAGTAACACATCTGGCTACCCATGCCCATCATAATATACACCCTTTTTTCTTTCATCATACTTGTATTCTAATACATACATATATGTACGACATGTTTTCTCGGATATTGTATTTTTTGTATATCCCAATTTAGGCAATAATATTTTTTCAATATAAATTTTTAGAGCTCCGGAAGATCATGATTCAGAAGTTTGTTGCCATAGCTATTCTTGACATTTTTCAAAAAATTCTCATTATCAAGCAGGCTTATAGATTTTTTATGTTTTTCTTGGTGATAAGAAAAAAGTTTACCTGATTTTATATAATAATCACTCCAATTTCTTATGTATTTAGATATATAATCACCTTTATTCCATAGTGTTTGTACAATCTGGAGGCTAGTATTCATCTTGTCTTGTCTATCTAATAATAATTGAATATATCTGCTTATACTTAATAAGTGTAAGGAATCATATGTTAATATATTGTTCTTTGATGATTTTTTTATTTGACACTGTTTATTAATATCTTCTAAACAAATATGTAGAATTAAAGCAGTATCAGCAAGTGGTAGAGAGCTTTGTAAAGTTTCATGAAATAATTGTAATAATAATAGATTACTTGATACTTCAACATCAAGTAATATATTATTCAATAATTTATTATCAAGTAATATATTACTTAATACTTTAGCATTAGACAATTTATTTAATACTTTAGTATCAAGTAAATTACTTGATGCCGAAGCATCAAACAATTTATTTGATACTTTAGCATCAAATAAATTACTTGATACTTTGGCATCAAGTAAATTACTTGATGCCAAAGTATTAGACAATTTATTTGATACTTTAGTATCAAATAAATTACTTGATGCTTCGGTATCAAGTAAATTACTTGATGATTTAGCATTAGGCAATTTACTTGATACTTTAAAATTACTGATACTTTAGCATTGAGTAAATTACTTAATGCTTTAGAATTACTTGATACTTCAGAATTACTTGACACTTCAGAATTACTTAATGCTTCAGTATTAAGTAAATTACTTGATACTAGAGTATCAAGTAATATATTACTCAATAATGAATTATTCTTGATGTTTCAATAGCGAATATTCTATTGTTATTTATATTTTTTCCTTAACTTTTTCTAGTTTCTTCTTATTTTGCCTTTAAATCATAGTTCTTGAATTTTTGGAATATTTTTTTTTTTACTTTTCTTAATATAGATACATTTTGCGCTTCGATAGCTTCTTGTACTTTCTCTTGAAATATAAAGTGATCTTGTTTTCTGAGTAAATTATTAACTTGTTTTCGTCTTTTTGATATATGTAGCATAGTAAATTAATCAGATATAGTTTATTCACAAGATCATTTTTTCACTAAACAAAAATGTCTTAAAGTTTAAAAGCTCAAAGCTATTTAAAGCTATTCTAAACTTAGTTGCTTCCCCATTTGAAATCAATATATTTATTAATTATTAATCACTATTGATAACTATATTGTTTATGCAATCACTATTTTAACTTTTAATTAATTCTATGCAAACCCAAATCATGCTATTTATATACAGATATAAAACCCGATCTAATTATAGATTATGATATCTAACCCTTGTTCTATAATTCCTGGGGCTCCAAAGTTAATTACAACAAAAATCATATTAAGACCAATGCTTTAATAAAGACAATGCATCAGGAGAAATTTTTTAGTGCTGTTCTGTGCAGATTTGCAAAAAAATTAAATAATAAATTAAATGAAAACCTGTG